GTAAAATCCATACCAGTCCGGGAAGAAGGTCATGCTCTGCGTGTGGTGGGCAGCTTATGGATTGCACCACTGAGAACTTCTTCCTTCCGAAGCTACGGTGACCAGGTGCTTTACTCTAATCTGCTGCGAAGGTTGGCAGAGAAACTCCAACATTTGGCTCTGCAACTCGACGAAGTATACCTGCTTCACTAGGCTACGTTCAGAAGATGACACAGCTTGAGACCATGGCGCTCACTGGAAAGTTCTACCGCACCATCCGTACACCTCTGGCTTGACCCCTGCTGAATATCATCCCTTCCTGTCCTCAGCAGCCATTTTGCGGGCAGTTATGATTCTCAGAAGGACCTCGAATTCGAGGCAACCTAATTTTCCAGCTCGGAACGGGAAAAATTCTGGAGAGGAGGCATCCACTCTCTGCACAGCCGTTGGCAAAAATTCGACGAAGATGCTGTATATACTGTTGATTGATATCGCTTGTTGATGGAATAAACTTGACTCTGAGAAAGTTCGAAAACGTCACGAAATTCCGGGACACTCTAATATGATTGCATATGAATGTACGATAATTGAAATTGACCGTGACATGGATTCCCTCGCACTTCTCATGTGTGTTGTTGTTTGGCTTCCGCCCACGCGCTGAGCGTCTCTGTGTCTTTTCCCGGCATTCGCCTTGCATGGTCTTCCTTGCGTGCACGAAGGCAGTTGGCACGATAAATCCCCGAGACGAGTAGGATTAATGGCACGACGAAATTCCACGACCTGAGCAGGCGCTGCCTACCATTTCCAGGGGGGAGCACCCTTACAGGGGCCCTATCAAGCTACAACATACCGACCCGAACGCCCACCACGCCCGCCCGCCCACAAATGGACGACCGTTCCTGATGCTCGTATTGCTTCATTTGCTAAGTAAATTATGAAGCGAAGGGATTGGTATGAAGCGGTTGCGGTACTGCATGGATATATGAGTACATGCAGACATATTTACCGTAGCAGTTATTGGCAAGATGCCTACTAATTGTTTGTTCATTAAGAGCGAAGGTTTTTCCTTGCATTTTTTTGACCGTTCTTCGTTTTTTCGCCATTTTGCCACTAATAACGCCCTGCTAGCATTTCAGGTTTCAGGCATTTCAGAGTACCAAATTATCGTGCCAACTGCCTTTAAAATCAACTACTTGCTTGGGGCATTTCCGACTGGTCCTTCTGTCCCCCACTCTTGACTGAATACCTACAGTCCTCATCATTGCAGACCGGTGGGGCGGTGCGTGTGACTCGGCTGTGACGCGGCAGCGATGACAGTCGCGTCACAGCCGAGTCACAGGCACCGCCCCACCGGTCTGCAATGATGAGCACCATACATACTCATGCATAGTCAAACTACCTGCGAACAGCAATCGCAGAATGTGCATTTGACCCGTCAATCCTTTAGCAGTCACATATAACTTTCTTAGGTTAGTTATCGAAGTTACTTGCTTACCGAGGGAGAGTTTACGGACAGAAACCTCCATGCTTGTCAAGTGATCTGTGGCACAAAGAGGAAAAGATAGGAGGTCGTTCCACTTACTTTTCACACGGAAGTATTTGAAAAGGAAATATAAATAAAAAGAAAGGATAGAAAATAGCGAAAACGGGGAAAAAAGCAAGAGGGGCGACAATGAGCACACCATTTATATATCACGCACCTCCGATATTACAAAACACTGTTCATAGCACAAAGAAGACGCGTTCACGAATGAAAATGTGCAATCATATATATGCATGGTATACGGTAGCATACAACGATGAATAAGAATAAAACATACAAGTAATAGTGGGAGAAAGTAGAAGAAGTACAGGGTGAAAGAGTACGGTAGGTGAATATGATAACGGTAGGAGATCCGCTGATACAACAGTAATCATGCACACACAACATTCGGATCCTTGCAGAGGAAAGGCGACTTGAAAAGCGCATTTTCATACAAAAAAATGGTAAATTACGGGGAGGATATCTTTATATATGTATGTGGGAGGACTGATAAAGGCGGTTGGGAATATAAGAGCACCGTAGTCAAGTCTTACGGGTGGCGTGCTACATAATCGAGTAAGATGTGGATAGCTACCCTTTTTAATTTGTTCATTTCCAAGCGACTGCTCTGCTGAAGCACTCCATTGGTGAGATCTAGAATCTAACCGAATTTCGATTTTGCCGAAATTCTGTACATGCCCTCAAAAGCTTCTACTTAGTGTTCATAGGTAGATATCAGGGACAGTTGATAACGTCGCACCAGTCGAAGCGATATAAGGAGGGGTGGAATAGCCCGCATACAGTTTTCAGCGGATTTGGCGAACCAGGGTTTTATTCCACCGGCGCCGATGGCGCAGGCGCGAGGCAGTTTCGTGGGAAGCGGATGTTATATTCGTGTTCAGGAGGTCGAATCAATCCTACTTTCAGCCAAATCTGCCAATGGAGAAAAAAGTCGATCAAAATGCGGCCAGTTTTCGAAAAATTAGGGTAGTAGTAATGGAATAGCGCCGATTTTTCCTCCTTGTCCAAAAAACGTGTCTCCGTTATCGTCAGAAAAACGCTTTCCACGGAGATCTCTTTTAGATTGGGGACAAGAAGTAAACCCTAATCAGCTTCTCAATATTCTTTTCATTTTTTCAGTTCTCTTTTCCTTGTTCTCAATTTTTTAACTAGCAATCATTTTCTCATGTCATTTCTTCCATTTTCTCGCATCAGTCACTCTGGTCTTCTTTTAGCAGGGATAACTAGGACAGCTTCTGATGATAACTAAATGGAAATTTGTATTTATACCCTTAGAGAGTGTCGTTATCTATTGAAATGATCCAAATTCCTTCGTCATTGCTTAATTACCCAGATACAAATACTTTGACCGGCCCTCGTACATATGAGAGGGGGGGTTGTGGGATTGGAACGGGGTTGACCCTTTTTGCACCGCCCCGACTGAGTGCGACTATCAAGGCAGCAACTAATCGCCCATTTCCCAGGCTCCCATCATAGGCGAAGCTTTCGAGACTGAACAGATTACGGTGCTCTCTATACACTTCCTTCAACGCTTATCAAAATAGGGAAAATAAACGACGCCTAATAAATAATATTGAACGCTATAGAAATTTGGAGTTACAGAGCGTCATGTGATATACCTGAGCGTCGTGACCGTCCGTGATGATGACGGACGTATGGAACCCGTTGTGATAGGAACAGTATGAGAGATGATGTGATGACGATATAAGCGAGAGGAGAAGTGGGCGGCGCAAGACAGGCAGACATACAATCAGGGAAAATGAGCACATACTGGTTACATGCAGTAGCATCTTGGAAGTAATTCATGCAAGCGATTATTCGTGTAGAAGAACCTGTGAATCAAAGTGGGCCTAACCTCGTTGGACCATAAGCTGGGCAAAGACCAACCAATGAACAGACGAGGTGAGGTCTCACGGGCAGAACACATAGCAAGGGATAAGTTCACGGATATTTCAGTACGTCTGAACTGCAAGCGCCGCGAAGAAGAGGAAAAAAGATGACACAGAAGGCACGCTCACACACAGAGACATACAGATGCAAACAGCCGAGTGGCGGGTCACATCTTTTGAAACCTCTTTCGAGCTGTCGGATCGGTGACGAATCGTAGCAGGCGTTGTCGTCGCGGATCGAATTCCTTCTGTACGCGGGCCTTCTCGACGGCCTTGGCGTTACGCCAGAGATACTGTACGAAAAGACGCTTCTTGAAGTCCGGGTTTGAATTTCGATCGTCCGTGACCCGATCGATCATCGTGACAATACGATGGAAGGAGGTGCACGTCTTCCAGAAGGAATAGAAACGAATAACTTTATAGACGTGCGCCAACGGGACCTTATTGTCACGAATGTGCGAGCGCGCCGACGCGCCGCTCACAGATGAGCGCGGTGTCGACGCTGACGAAGCGACTCCGGCTGCAGCCGCTTGTACCTGAAAGAAGGAGTGAGACTTCTTTGGGATGTTGACTCAGACCTACGTTAACGAATCATCTCACCTGAAGTACCGAAGTGGCTAACTTAGCGGTGATCACTTTACCCTTGACGGCAATACAGTTCACACGATGAAACTGCCTCAGGTCTTCTGAATAGAAGTACTTTGTCGGCCGTGACGTATGCCTCCACCATTGATCATCTCCGAGGATATCGCCCATACGCACTCGCTCACCGTCCACCACAAAGCAGTAGTTGTCCTGAAATTGACAGATGGGAAATCCAAGCAGCCTAGTGATCCTATTTTTTGAACTAAACAGAAATGTTCATAGGGTTGATGTGAAGTCACAACTTTCCACAAAGTCCACCCAACGAACGAATATCTGAATTTCTTTACCTGTAGAAAAATGTCGTCTTTACAGAGGTAATATGCCATGAAAGACTATTTCCAGAACAGTAGAAAAGACATCAGAGTACGTAAAGAACTGTTTCCGGCACCCAAAAGTCAATGTCTCGGTGGGAAAAACTAGCAAGCCTAAGGCAGCGTTCATAGTTCGCGACAGCAGCGATCGCCGCGATCGATCGCCAGTAGGAGGACCAGCTCGCCCCAACACAACTAGATGGACGGATTGAAAAACTTGTTGGAAAGGTATTTTCATGTGGTTTTTTCTTTCTTCCGCCCACTAGTACTCTCAGTGAGGGGGTTATTTGATTAATAAGTGGGGTGCAGTTAAATAATAGGCTTCTAGATCGAGAATCTTATAATTTTCTTTAATTTTTGGAATCTTATAATTTTCATCCGAAGTGGCTCTTTTCGACAACTTGGGCCGATTTGAGCCA